TGGGTGGGTCAAACCAGTGAGGTCTGGGAACTGTGTTGATGCCTGTGACTGGCAAGGCTAGATAGCAGCTCCATTTACCACTGCCTGCTGCCCACGCCCCGGCCCCGGCCCCCAGCCCCCAGCCCAGAGCTCATCTCGAGTGCAGGTGCACCCAGGGAGGTCCCCAGCCCATCTGCAGGGAGGAGAGACGAGGTCCCCTGGGTGGGTGAGTGGGGGCTGCCGGATCTGCCCTGGCAGAGCACTCTTGCCCTGCAACAAGGCCCTGGGGCCCCAGCAGGGCCTGGTGCGTCCGAGGCCTGGAGGCAGGCGGGAAGGCCACCCGCTGGCTCCCTGGCTCCCGAGCACTCCTTGGGTCAGGCCCAGGAGCCCTGCACACACATGTAGGCACTTGTGGCCGCCGCGGGCCGGGCGTGTCCTAATTAGCCCACTATCTTGGGAGCTCTTGTTGAAAGCAAAACAAACCAAAAAAGTCCTGGTTTTGCCCGGGTTCCTCCCTGCGGTTTCCGGGGGCCCTCTGGTTTTGGGAGACCCTGGGCTCCCGTGCAGGCCTGTGTTAGGGTCAGGGTTGCCAGTTTCAGCAGCTTGACCCCGGGCAGGAGCCAGGCCCCAGGCAAAGCTCCTTGCTGCCAGGCAGGAAGCAAAAGGGAAAACCAGAATCCTCCGAGCCAGGTGGAGGGGCCTGTGGAGGACGCCTGGGGAGGCCTAAGGGGGAGGTCAGTGACCCAGAAAGCCACCCACACTCCCCAGACGCTGCGTTCCCAGCTGCACTCAAAGCTGCAGCCGCAAAGCCTCTGCCACCCACTGGGGACGCGACAGGGGCGGTGACCACAGGCAGGGCCAGCGTGCAGGGAGAGAGGTCCCCTGGAAGCAGGAGGAGAGGACAGTGTCCCCTGGGCACGAGGACAGGCCCAGTAACCCTGGGGAGGAGGGGGCTTCAGAGGCCCCTGCCGGTGTCACTGAGCCTGAGGATCAGAGAGGACCAGAGGGAGAGACCGATATCGGGGCCCTGCCTGGAGAAGCCCTGCTAAGGGAGCCTGCCTGGGGCTCCCGGCCAGAGAACCGCGCTGAGAGGGCTTCAGGCCTGCTGTCCCGACACTTATCCACTAATTAGAATTCCCGCGTGGGGCTGCCTGCTGCAAGGGCCCGGCTCACTCCCGCTGGGCTGTGCTGGGTGCAGAGATCCTATCAGCTCTTCTCCTCTTGCCTCAATGACTAATTCCTTGGCACCTTCCTCAGATCATTCAAGAATGTGGACAAGTTAAAATATGAACCACGTTGCTGTGGGTCTGCGTCCTGCTTCTCCCAAACAAGGGAGGCGCGGGCTCTTTGCCCCACTGGCTGTCCTGTTCTCGGGGATGGAGCAGGAATGGGAGTCGGCAGTTGGGGGGACCCTGGGGCCTGCCCTTGCCTGCCTTCCTCACCTGAGAAGCCTCAGCTGGGCAGCCCTCGAGTCCCGGGATGTTCTTGCCCAGGGGACTCACATGAGTCAGGAGTGGGGAAGTCCTGCATCCCTGAGGCCATCCCAGGGCCCAAAACAGGAAAGACCCTTCCAGGAAGGCCGCCGCTGGTTGCGTGGAAGAGAGAGGGTACCATGGGGGCGGTGGGCAGGCTGGCACCCAGTACCCAGTGGTGGGAGGGGCTGGCTCATGTCCCGTACTCACTTCTGGGCAGCTGGACTGGGGGAGCCGTCCTGCGTTCGTCCGTTTGTTCTACCAGCTCACTTGTTCAGCGAGCCTCTCAAGCAGCCGCTCTAATGGAGCACTGATTGACGGTGTTGGCTCTGAGCCACGTGTGTAATTCTGCGTTTTCTAGTAGCCGCATTCAAAAAGATGGAAAGGAACTGACAGAAGTCATTTAATTATTTCCTGTATTCACCCCTAACTGTGATGGTTTCAGCTTGTAATCAATAGGAAATGGTGAGTGAGGAGTTTTCCGTTCTTTCCGTGGCCCTGAGCCCTTGGAATCGGGGTGCGCTCACACACTGCGCTCGGCTCCATCCACATTTCACACACCCCAACCCTGTGTGGCCAGTGGCCACCGTATCCAGGGTCCTCGTGGGTTCACGCTCAAGTAGGGGAGACAGAAGCCTTGGGGGACATGTGAGCCTGGCCTTCCAGAGAGTGGCTGTTAAGATGCTCAGACTGGGTGACGAGAGAACACCCGAGGCCTGGGGGCTGCTCCTGCCAGTGTGGCCAGGGCTGACCCCTCAGAACAGTGACCTCTGAGCCCAGACAGGGCTGGTGCGGATTCGTGTGCAGCTTCCAGGCAGGGCCTGGGCCTGCGGTCAGGAGCAGCTCTCCTCACCTCGGAGACCTCTCGGGCCTTGGTGAGGAGTCTGGGAACCGGGGACTCTGGGGCGGGGCCTGTGCTGTGCAGCCGGAGCTTGGCACTGCCCTGTGTCACCCCCACCATCACCCAACCTCCCACGTGTGGGGCTGAGGCAGGGGTCCATCCTCTCTGCCGGGAGCCTACTGGCAGCTCGCTGGTGCCCAGGGTGGCAGGTTCCCCAAGCCAGACACCAGGAGGAGCAGGAGTGGCCTTTCTACACCGTTCTCTGAGCAGGGCGGTGGCTGCTTCCCCAGACGCCCTCACAATAGCCCAGGAGCCGGGATAGGTGAGGGTCACCCTTCCCTGGGATATTATGTTTTGTTTTGTTTTTTGAGACAAAGTCTTGCCCTGTCTCCCAGGCTGGAGGGCAGTGGCGTGATCTTGGCTCTCTGCAGTCTCAGACTCCTGGGCTTGGCTCTCTGCAGCCTCAGACTCCTAGGCTCAGGAGATCCTCCCACCTCGGTCCCCAGAGTGCTGGGATTACAGGCGTCCCCCCGTGATGGTTTTAACCTGACACCATGTTTCCAAGGCTCGTCCACGTGGCAGCGTGTGGGAGCTTCCTTCTGTCCTTATGGCCGAGGAAGAGGCCACTGTCCAGACACACAGTTTTCTTTATCCATTGGCCATTCAGTGCACCCTGGGCTCCCGGGAAGGGCCTGTGGTGCAGGAAGTTAGGAAGGCTATGGGGGGTGCGACAGACCAGGAAGGAGGCTGCGCTGGTGCCGGAGAGGTGGGCAGGGCCCGTGCTGCAGGGGTCCCCGTTCCATTGCTGGGTGGGCTCCCCAGGTTGACAGCTCACAGCCAGCTTAATGGTGCCAGATGATGGCAGCTTCAGCCGAGGCCTGGTGCCAAGACCCTTGCATTGGAGCTAGGACACGGGTCGGACCTGGCGGCTCAGGCCTACTGGGGGCTGTTAGCTGTCCTGGGCTGGAGCACCCAGGGAAAGTGCCTGCCTGGCCTTCGGTGGCCCTGGGAACAGTGGTGGTGGCTCTGGTGAGCACCAGTCCCCTGTCTCCTGCCCCTCCAGCATCCCAGGCTGAGCTGCCTCCACGTTGGACCGCACTCAGTGGAGGACTCAGTAGAGGACTCAGAGAGGACGCAAACTCTGGACTTGCCCGGTATCCTTCTCCATCGGATGCTGGAGGGGCCGGGGGCTGTGGCCCTCATCAGGGACCTCAGTGGATGTGTGTCCTAGGACCTGCAGAGCCGAGGGCCTCTGGGTCACTAAACCTAACGCCTCTGATGGAGAAGGCTGAGGTACAGGAAGGGGCTGAGCTTGGGAGTCCCGGCCAGGCCCCTAAACCCTCGTGTGCGGGGGATGCACCTTTTATTTTTTGGCTTGGAGGGGGCAGGCTGGTGGGAGGGGGGAGTGTGCTCACAGCACGCCACAGCTTCTCTAAAGAGGGGCACAAGGCAGAAGGACCCCCCGCCGCCCACCTACGCCTGGCTGTGCCCCTTCCTGCTCTGCAGTCCCAGTTCACGGTCTGGGGGTCTCGGCCTGCACCTTGCTGGTTGCTGGTGACCCTTGTGCCATTGGCTGGGGCCGCTGGATGCCTGGGGCCAATCGTGTCTCCAGCCCCATAGCTCAGGTTCCTCATCTGTAAAATGGGGACAGTCACGGTGCCCATCGTAGGCCGGGGGAGAGGGGTAAAGGAGTTTGTTTGCGTTGAGGCTCGGGGGTCACGGGAAAGCTGTTTATGCGTCTGCAGTGTTCCTCCAGTACCCGCCTCCGGGTTTGGAAGGGGGGTCTTCCTCGGTGGCCCACCAAGTGAGGTCTGCCCTGCCCTGGATCTGAGACACCGAGGCCGGGCCAGCACCCCCTCCCTCAGCTGGGGCCTCCCTTAAGCTCCTGGCAGAGGCTGATCCGTGCTGGGGTCCCGGCGGCCCACAGAGGGTGGCACAGGGGACGCACTCACAGGGGTTCCCGTTCCTTGGTGTGTGGTCCTGGTGGGGGAGCTGCGGGTAGGGGCCCAGCGAGAGAACCCCGGGCCAGGGGGCAGCAGGGGTGGGGCTTCGCTGGCCCCTGAGCTCGGAGCGGCCTTTCCAGTGTGGGTGAGGCCGTTCACCGGCAGACGAGGCCGCCCACCTGGGAAAACAGGGCTCAGCCATTGAACAGCAGCCCCCACCCTATCCCACCACCTAGAGGGCCAGGCCTAGTGGGGGCCCGAATCTGGTCTCCAGCACCTCAGGGGCACCCACGCACCCAAGCCCAGGTGTGCGCACCCTGCACTCAGGGCCCACTTGTGCCTGGCCCACCTCACCCGCTGCCTGGCTCCCTGGGGCTGGATCTCCCCACTTTGAGCTGTGAGGTCCAGACCCCGATGCTGCCCAGAGGGTGCAGCGAAGCCCGTGTGGGCATCAGGGCCTGGGAGCCTCCCCCACCCAACGCCTCCCCTCCAGGTGTGCAGAGAGTCTATTCCGCCTCATCAACGGCTGGGTGGATCCCCAGAAACCCTGGCACCGGGAGGCTGATGGAGGGGAGGGCGAGGTGAATATGTCAGTTTATCCCAACGCAAGTAGTGGCCTGTTGGGATGGGGGAGAGACCCGGGGAAATATTTGGGATGACTGGAGCCGCTGGCCCTTTAAGGCTCCTGTAACAGGACACCTCCTAGACGGGACAGGACGACTGACTGTGTGTGTTTCCCCTCCCTCCTCCCCTTTCCCGCGCCAGGCCCAGTTCAATTTGCTGAGCAGCACCATGGACCAGATGAGCAGCCGCGCGGCCTCGGCCAGCCCGTACACCCCGGAGCACGCCGCCAGCGTGCCCACCCACTCACCCTACGCGCAGCCCAGCTCCACCTTCGACACCATGTCGCCCGCGCCTGTCATCCCCTCCAACACCGACTATCCCGGACCCCACCACTTCGAGGTTACTTTCCAGCAGTCCAGCACGGCCAAGTCAGCCACCTGGACGGTAAGTCCCCTGCTCCCTGCGGGCTGTGAGCTGCGGGCTGGAAAGGAGGTGGCCGCGTTCCCCGCACCTCAAGAGGTCCGAGCTCGCCCCACTGTCTGCTCGGGGCTCCCACCTGGCCCGGGCCGGGAGGAGCTTCAGGCAGGAGGCGGGTCTCAGGGCCGGGCAGTCTCGGTGTGCCCACCCCTCTGGACGTGAGTGGCCAGAGAAAGTCAGCCTCCAAAGGGCCCCAGAGGGGACGGGCTTGGCCCGGCTGCTGAGGTCTCCGCCGAGACTGGCCAGCGGCTTCCCCATGCTCAGGTAGGGGCTTTGGTTTGAAATCCTCTCCTGGCCAGAGGCAGGGGCTCTGCTGCCAAGAGTTGTCTGTCCAAGACAGGCCCACAGCCTAGGGTCTGCAGAGCCTGCCTCCTCCAGGCAGCGAGACGCATCTGCGGGTGGGCGGGTTTGGGCTTTGCCAGCACTGTCTCTGGGGTGTCATTTCCAGGACTTGGCATGCGCCGAGGAGATGGGGTGGAACCACCGTGCCGAGGACTCAGGTCCTCACTGCGGTGCCCCTGGGGACAGCCTGGCCCACGGTGGGGATCTTGCTAACTCTGATAACATCACCTGTGCACATGGCCACTCTCCTCGAGCCAGGCACCGTGCTCAGGGCTTTGAGTTGAGCTAACTCCTGCACCCACCAACAACGCACGGGGCTGACTCCATCACTGCTCCCTTGTACAGCCAAGGAGGCTGAGGCGCGGGGAGGGAAGTGGTTCGCCCAGAGTTCTGCTCATAGTAAGTGGGGGCCACCAACTCTGCACCTGTATTCCTACCCACGAGCTGCCCTGCCCAGACGGCTTCCGGGGTGGGGGTCTGTCAGGAGGGGCAAGGTCAAGGCTGCATGACCCCAGCCAGGAGTGGAGGGCACGCAGGGGTTGGGCGGGAAGAGCAGCCCCAAGAGCTCTCCGGGTTTCCCCTCCTGCACCGAGGAGGGGGCAAGGGAGCCCTGCCCAGACACCTGGGCCGTGGCTGCAGCAGGGGCTCTATGGGACACATGGTCGGTCCGGCCCACTGGGCAGCGTCCCCTCCCCCACGAGGCCCCGCCTCCCCTGGGCACAGCTCAGTGCTGGCCCCCTGAAGTCCGTGCAGGGCAGCTGCATTCCCACCCACTGTGGGGAGTGCTGAGAAAAGGCCCCTCGGGTTTTTCCGCTTTAAGAATCGGGTCCCACTGTGCTGCCGGCCATAGCTGCGGTTTTCCCACGCTCCTGGAGGGCCGAGGGGCAGGGCGGAGCCTAAGGTAGCCTGTCAGGCTCTGCAGGTAGCTGGACAGTCCTGCCGGGCTGGTCTGGGGTCTGGGTTCCAGGCCCCGCCCGCCCCCACCTGCGGTTGTTTCTGATTCTCACTCCAGCCATGGGCTCCCCCAACTGCTGGCTCCAGGCTAAGAGAAGGCTCAGCCCAGACTCCCTGGGCTTGATGGGAAGGGGCTCTGTGGGCTGTTGGGCCAAGGGGCAGAGGACCTGGCACCTCCTCCAGGGCCTCCCACCCCCATCTGGCAGGGAATGCCGACCCCAGCCCTAACGCCCCGTTTTCTCCATTTGGAAATTACTCCTCCACGCTCCTTACTGCACGGTGGAGATAAGGATGGGAAGACCGTGCTGGGGCCGTGGTCAGCACAGCGCTTAGCTCGCAGCAGGAGGCCCATGTGTTGTCTTCATTGTGGTGGTGGTGGGCATGCTGGCCTGGGCCTCCCAAATGAGTGGTTCTGTGGCAGCTGCACCTGCCTGTGGGGCAAGGGAGACCAGGACTATCCCTCCACCCCGCTTGAAGGTCCGGTGAGGCCACCTGAAGCCAGGTCAGAAGGCCCCAAGGCATCCTCACCTGCACACTCCAGCAGCGGGAGCCCTTCCACTGCTTCTCTCCCACGCTCAGGCTTGTTGCCCAAGTCCACTCTCTCCCCTCTGGGGACACTGACCTCCTGCCCTGGGGTTTACGATGCTGGTGGTTTCCAGAGAGTGTCCCCTTGCAGTCCTGGCAGGCAGCTTGTGGGAGCTCTGCCTCCCTTCCTCCCATGGTCTGGGGATGCTGGCGGGGTCTCCACTATGCTTGGGGCGCACTGCATGTGGTCTGCGCTGATCTTCCTGGAAGGACAGGAGCAAACCCCTCTGCTGGCTGACGTCCCCCACCTGGGGTGTCTGCCACCCCCACCTCCTGCCAGGTGTGGCATCAGGTTCAAGGGACTTCATGGTTTTGTCTCAATTGCCTTGTTCTGCAGGACGGGGCGGCCTTGCCCTGCGGGATGGGCTGGTCAGCCGCACCCGGGGGAGGGGAAGGCTCTGCCTGGTGCCCAGGAGAAGAGCAGCGACGCCTCCTCGCTCCCTCCCTGCTGGGCTTTGTGGATGCTGGGGCTGGGGGTTGGGGCGCGAGCTAGGGAAGAAGATGCTGTCGCCTGCACCCAGGGCCCCTCCTCCGAAGCCCTGTGGATCCAGGGGGTGGAGGTGGAACACACATTGATAATGAGATTTTTGGCACCACAGCTCTCTGGGGGCAGAACCCCCTCCACCAGGGCTTCTTCCCTTGCCCAGGGAGGGGCAGGCAGGTGGTCGGCTCACAGTGTGGGACAGGGCCTCCAGACAGCCCACTTGCTCCCAGTTCTGGGGTCCCACCGTGCGGGCACTGCCCAGACCTGCTGCCTGGGCTTGCGTCCGGCCTCCGCACCGTGGCTCCCTGGGCTCCCGGCACACCAGCCGGCTGGTAACTGATGGATAATTCTTATTTTTCTCAAGTACAGTTCCACATTGGCTGCCGCCCTCCTTTCTCCCCAGTCAGGAAAACACCCTCACCAGTCCCCAGGTGACCACAGCTGCTACTGGGGTCTTTGACCTCGGCTTTGCTGAGGCCCACGATGGGTCTCCCCAGCCCTGGGGGTGTCCATCTGTCCTAAGCAGCTTCCCTCAGACTTCAGATCTCCTTGGGCACTGAGGGGTCTGGAGGCTGCGGTTCACAGGCCTGTGCATATGTGTGAATACACACACAGACATGGCACCCTCCCACATGCATGCACACACATGGATACACAAGTCCGTTATGCACATGCAGGCACATGGAAACACACAGCCAGGCATGTACATGCATAGGCCTCCCCCCGTCGCTGCCCAGGGTTCTAGAGCTCCCACCCATGGAAAGCCAGGAGGAGGAGGAGGCGGGTCATGGGTAACCAAGAGTCAGAGGAAGGATTTGTGTTTAGCCACGAGAGTGTAACCAGTGACCAGTGACAGGGCAAGGCTGGCGTTTGGTGAGAGGGACCCTGCATGGTGAGAGGGGTAGAGCTGGCACCTACTGGGGTCCTGATCCCAGGTCTGCCTGGGAGCACCTGCTCCTTCGCCCCTCTGCCCTGGCATCCTCACCTGCAGAGAGAGTGTGGCCTGCCAGCCATGGTAGGGACAAAGGAGCTGGCTCTTGGGACTTCTTAGGGCAGGGCAGGGTGCCTGGGGAGCGCTCCACACACGTGTGCTCTTTGTGAGTGCAGTGCTGATGGTGACACCAGTACCCTTCTCCCAGTTCAACACCCTCTGTGGGACAGTGTGGGGTCAGAGCATGGGCAGAGCTCTCGGCAGGGCGTGGCCTGGCCTCTGAGCCCTGCTGGCCGCTCCTGTCCTGGGAGCCCTGCAGGTTGGCAGTGGCTCAGACAGCTGATTCCAGGAGGCCCTCAGGGAGGAGAATGAACAGGAGTTCCTCTAGCTGTCGGAACAGCCCAAGATGATGGGCATCGGATGCTGTGACACCCCGGCTCATCCGTTCTGCCCCCAGCTCAGCCTCATCGGGGAAGGTGGCTGTCCTTGGTATTTGGGAAGTTTGGGGACAGGGTTCTGAGGTCAGGCAAGAAAGCATTGTGGGGTTGGAAGCCCTGGCCCAGCACAGCATCTATGGGCACCTCAGGGCATGCTGAGTGACACCACCCACAGCCCACGAGGCAGGCTGCCACGGCAGGATGATGAGGACACACACAGGTGTGATGACCAGCTGCCCCAGTATCCCTCCAGACAGAGAGATGGACACAGGGGGCTGGACACAGCCCCCTGAGTGCCCTCCAGCTGCTCTCAGACTCAGCGTGTGTGCGTGTGTGTGTGCGTGTGTGTGTGCGTGTGTGTGTGCGTGTGTGTGTGCGTGTGTGTGTGCATGCGCGCACATGTTCGTCTTGGGGGAGAGCTGACTCCACGTCTAGGAAAGCCCCCCCCGAGGAGAGACATATGGAAGGATGGTCAGGGAAGCATAAAGGCTTTGCTCGGGATTCCTGGGGAGAATGAGGCTGAGTCAACACTAATGGGTCTGGAGCAACCTTCCCAGCGCCTCGGAGGCTTGCAAGCGGGAGAATAATAGCGGAGGTGTCCCAACACGATCGTGGTATCAATTGCGTTATCCTAAAAGTTTATGGAATGCATGAGTGGAATTAATACCTTTTACTGGCACCAGAAGCAATTATATGTGCGTAAAGCTGAGGGAAGAGTTCTAACAATGTTTATTGTGGAGATGAAACGTGGATTATTAGGGGAAACAAGAGTACTTAGGGTGAGATTGCAGCAATTGTTCACATCGTGTGGCGCAGGGATCTGCGGCAGGGTCGGAGCTTCCAGCAGGCCCGCTCGGGCTGTGGTCGGTGCCTCCGGGGCCGGTCGGCTCTTCTCTCTCCACTTTCTGGAGCAGCCAGAGGAACTCACTCCTGGGCCCTGGAGGGCACAGAACTTAGCCTTGGAGGCCCCGAGTGAGGCTGCGGAGGCCCCAGCTCTGAGACCCTGGGTTCTGCTGCCCCACCCCACACTGCCTGGTTCTTGGAGGAGACAGGAGAGAGAACCCCTCAGGGGACAGGATTCCCTTCCATAGGCGTGAGACTGCTGTGGGAGAGGCATGATCCAATTTACGTTTTAGGAAGAATCATCTGTTTTCTAGGACTTGTTTCCAGTCCACAGTCCTGTGGACCCAGCACGTCTGATTAGTAGCACTGGCAGCAACATTGCCCCTGTGTG